CTTTAACCCAGTGATTCCAGGCTTCCTGTTGCATAAAACCAAGGGCAGGGCTGGGCGCGGTGGCTCAAGCCTGTAATCCCAGCACTTTGGGAGGCCGAGACGGGTGGATCACGAGGTCAAGAGATCGAGACCATCCTGGTCAACATGGTGAAACCCCATCTCTACTAAAGATGCAAAAAATTAGCTGGGCATGGTGGCGCGTGCCTGTAATCCCAGCTACTCAGGAGGCTGAGGCAGGAGAATTGCCTGAACCCAGGAGGCGGAGGTTGCGGTGAGCCGAGATCACGCCATTGCACTCCAGCCTGGGTAACAAGAGTGAAACTCCATCTCAAAAAAAAAAAAAAAAAAAAAAAAAAAAAAAAAAAAAAAAAAAAAAAAAAAAAACCAAGGGCAGGCTGCTTTCCAGGGTTCCTTAGTTGTGCTAGAGGAGCAAGGATAGAAGAGAGTCAGTCCACCGGGTGCAGCTCTCCTAAGCCGTGGGCAATTCAACTTTCTTCATAAATTCCAGGCTTCTAGTGTTCCTTGCTCCTTACCTGTAAGTGGTCAGTCAGCTTCATATAGCTTGTGTGTAGGTGTTCTGTCTTACAGAACTCAAACACGTTAGTACCCAGGGCACAGTGAACCTGTTTTGCATACATTCTATCATCTAATGTAATAACTGCCAAGTTTAGTGTACATATTTATATTCTAGAATCTTTTCAGTAGTGAAACATCACATTCTGTATTTAAATATTTTTGCTATTCCAGATTATATTGAAACTTCTGCCAAGTTTTGTTTTATTTTTTTTGCTAATGCAACTTGTTAAACTTTTATTTCAGATAAATAATGGAAGTTTCATTTACCCCAAACAAAACCTCACTTGCAATGGATTCTCTTTTCATAGAAAAATCTAAGCCAAAATTCGTTACTGAAGAAAGGACATATACTGCATGTAATAACAAAAATCAAAACATACTGATGGCCTTGTCCCACTTCAGTAACACAGCAGCAAGTAATGATCTTACCTTCCTGAAACAAAAATGTTTAATACATTGCTCAGGAGGTATATGATATTGCTAGCCTCACAGAACTCTGGCTGGATTATTTAAATAAGATTTCAAATGTAAATGGGAGAGAAAAATCTGTCCCTTTATATATATGCTCACCAATGTCCCACCTGAAGAAAAATATACAGAATTTAGTTCTAACGGAATCTGTAACTACAATTAATTCTATTCATAATACAAAATGTACTAAATCTACAAATAGAATTTTTAAAGTTTATTATAAAAGGAATTAAGGAGCCATATTAATTATTCATCCATAGTAGAGCACGGCTTCTGAAAGTAATGTGTTTTTTCTTCCTAACAAACTGCAGTCATTTATGGAATTATGTCATGAGGTAGAGAGAGTGGGATGAAATAATGAATTATTTTTAAAGCCCAAAGTACTAAGGTACTGAACATCATTCTTTTCTATAGACATATAGTTATATTATATAACTGCATGTTATTGTGTAACATTGTATAACATGCAGTTATATAATATATGCATGTGTGTGTAAATATATATATAGTATGTACATGTATGTATAAAAATACATGTATATATATATTCCTACAGGCTAAAAATTCTAGCACAAAAGTACTTCTCAGTTTTAGTTTGTCTTTCATCATTACTATGTTAGCATAGCTATAAAGTGCAAATATGTATAAAAGTTATTCTTTCTGAATGTGTTATCTACAAAGAAATAATTTACCCATGGAGTGATATATTTTAAGGTTTGTTTTGATAATGTTGTTATGGTAGGCCTGTGAGCATATCAACTAGATCACCTGTCCCCATTGTTTGAAATGGCTATGGGTTGTCATAAAATATGCACATTTTAGATGACTCCATTAAACAATGGCTTACTAATTTCTGCTTGAACCAGGTCTCAGTATGGAGAAGCAAGATCAGGAGAACAAGGAAGTGTTATTAAGCCATATAAAATTACATGTGCCACTCTTAAGAGACCAAAGGCTTTTCTGCAAGAAAAAGAAACCTCTGTTTGCCTTCTCTCTCTCTCTCTCTCTCTCTCTCTCTCTCTCTCTCTCTCTCTCTCTCTGCCATTTTGTCCATGTGTGCTTAGAACTTTAGGTAAGAATAATGCAGAAGATTATAGATGTGAACAACAGTCCTGGGAAATTTACATTACAGTAGAATAGTTTACTTCCATTGACTGTAGCAATAATACATGGTTACTTTTATCACCACAAAGAATATGAGATTGTATAATTATAAAAACTGTTTGTGATCAGGGTCATATGAAGGGTGAGACATGTGAACTTTATCATACATTGTTCTTTTCGAAGTATATATTGAGGATATAGACATAAGAAAAGCCATAAAAATGTTTAAAAGAAATTTTAGTGTTGTAATGAGCCCTAACTTAAAGTACCATAAAAGGATATCTACAGAGCACGATGACTGCACGTAGGGTACCTGGTGTCAGTGGTTTTCATAATGTAACAGGTGTTTAGAGACCTGTGAAGGGATAGCTTAATGTCTTTAATAATTTTTTCTGTTAACTTTAATAATTTTTTTTCAGAGCCATTCTAGGCTTCCGAGCAATAAACAGGAGTTCTATATTAGAAACTTGAAGGCCATTACCTGTTCTGTTGAAGCTGATATTAGAACAAGTGGTCCTTATTCTAATACCTGTTCATCTCTCAATTTTCAGAGCCATCCACCTGCTAGGTAAGTAGTTCGGGGAAGAGTGTAAATGATGGGAGAAGGCTAAAGAAATGGTTCTGGGCTAGAGGACAGTAGCAGTATTTTTCTGAAGTAGCCGAGAAAATCAGCATGGTTTGTTTCAGATGGTTAAGTTTAACAGATTTGGACAACTGAACCAAGGTTGGAGAATGTGTTGGGAACTGACAATGAACTTTGCCAGAAAAGAAAAGCTTTTTTCAGATTGTATAAGAAAAATTATACTAAAAGGAAAATAGAAAATGGGAGAATATTTATAATTTGGTTTATATGTAATAACATAACTGATAGTCTCAAAGGAAGCAATATATGAAATGAAACAGAACTTTTAATTAAGCAACCACTTTCTTAGTAAATTATTTCCATAAATTGTTAATTAAATATTAGTGATCAGGGTGGGAAAAAAAGGAAAATCAGAGCTGAAGTACAGTGTGCTTTCTGTCTTAAATTGTAAATTTTAAAAATCTGTATTCCTGCTAGATTAATAATTTTTAACACATCTTTGTTAGAATGAGGTACGATAAATACTCTAGTTGAAAATGTGTTATCTGAATTTAATCCACTTGTTTCAGGGAGTGGAAATTTACATTTTTTTTAAGTGTTGCATAGTCATAAAATGTCAATTTGTATTATAAAATTTAGCACTGAACTAATTCAGAGCCATTTAGGTTCACTAATAGGACTGTAGTGGCTCTCTGACTTCCCAATAGCATCTGTTGAGATAGACAATAATAGAAAAAATAACTTTAATGGCATAAGAGATTTTTGTGTTATTTGGTTGCCTGAGAACACAAGTGCCTGTGTATTAAGGAAGAAGCAAGCATGCATAATATAAAAGTCATAGGCTCTCAGATAGAAGGAAGTAAGTTTTTCAGTGCCTGTGGTCAGTAAAGTACATGGCACGCCCACACTAACTGCATGCTGTGGATAGTTTTAGAAGCCATAAAACAGAGGGGTGGGATGCATTCCAATCATTTTATTTGAAAACTGGATGGAGAATTATCTAAAAGAGTTAGCATAACGATTGGAATGCTTCAGTCTGTCCCATCTCCCAATTCTTACTTCCAAGTAAAGACAAATAGGGGACGTATGAGAAGATATGCAATCCTTGTCATTCAGAAGTGCTATGTAGGTCTGGATTTTAGTTCCTTTGATTTTCCAAGTGTCTCTCAAAAGACTTTACTTAATTCTTCTATGAAAATATTAGTTTTTACCCATTTGACTGAGATCTCTTGTGGTCTGCTGTGCACATTCTAGAGTTTAGTATAATTTCTAGCATGTAAAACACTTTAAATACACAGTCTAGGCTGGCACAGCGGCTCACAGCTATAATCTCAGCACTTTGGGAAGCTGAAGTGAGTGGATTGCTTGAGCCCAGGAGTTTGAGACCAGACTGGTTAACATGGAGAAACCCTGCCTCTACAAAAAAATTCAAGAGTTAACTGGGTGTGATGGTATCTGCCTGCAGGCTTAAGTTACTTGGGTGTCTGAGAGGTGGAGGATTGCTTGAGTACAGAGTTTGAGGTTGCAGTGAGCCGAGATTGCACCACTGAGCTCCAGCCAGAGCAGAAGAGTGAGACCCTGTCTCTAAATAAATAAATACATACATAAACATTAAAAATTTTTTAAATATATTCTATTTTTTAATACAAAGTAGTTTTGTTCTATAAAATTTGGGCAAACATTGAGTTAGCAAATACTGAACTGCTGCTCTTAGAGAAAATATATATTATGTATAAAACAAAATACATAGATATATACACACATGCACAGATACACATATACCTCATATTTCACATAGATTATATGTGAAATCCTTAAATCCTAAAAAGAACTCAGCCTGGCATATTTTCATTATTTTACAAAAGAGAAACTGAGGTTCAGAAGTGTTCAACGGCTTGCCTGAGGCCACCCCACTTATAAGTGCCAGTGTTAGGATTCAAAACCAGTCCCACAGGTCCAGAGCTTGGACGTCTTGTACCACACTGCATTTCCCCAACCAGCTGCATACTATGATCATCTCTGAATGAGAGCTAAACCTAAGCAGAGTCCTGCCACTGCTAACGTCAGCTGGCAGCATGTGCTCATTTTTTGCCACTCTGTATTTTTGCCACCTCAAGTATTTGTGGGTCATGAATAAATTTAAGCCACTAGGGGGATTCAAAAATACAGAATCTGTGAATAGTGAGGATTGACTGTACACAAACGAATTCTGTCTTCAAAAGAAACATAACATATAATATTTATTATTTATTTTTATTGACAATTTGTGAACTTCAAGTGGTCTGAGAAGCAGTGTGACATAGTTGTTGGACACACCAATCCTGAAGTCAAGTTACTGGGGTTCAAAAGCCATCTTGCCAGCTTCTATAAGACAGTGGGAAAAAGATCATAAGAGAGATAATATTAAGCCTCCCTTATAGGAATACAGGAATATTAAATAAATCTACCCATTACATTACAAATATATGAAAAAGCTTATAACTGTACAAGGAAAACTGTAATCCTTCTAAGTCTTATATACATTTTAAGTACTGTTTATCCCTCTTATTAATTAGATAAATAGTAGAATTTGCTAATACCTGCAAAGTGAAATGTAATTTTTAAATACATTCTTTGAAAGATCACAGAAATAAAGTACAATTTTTATCCCATCATATCAAAATTACGTATTATTAACATTATTAATGACTGCTTATGTTGTCCTTGATCACCTGACTGAAGTGTTTGCCAGGTTCTCTCTAAAGTTACTATTTCCCCCCGTTACATATTGCACACTTTGGGTGGAAAGTGACCATATACACTCCAACTTAAGAAATAGTAGTGCTTCCCCTCCTATAGGGTGAAGTAGCCACATAATTATTTGGAATTCTGCACAGAGAAATTTTCTCTTCTACCCTATTTGTTAACTTATTCAATAATTTATTTATATCAATATAGACTCATGGATATTTATTTTATTCTTTGAGTCATAATTCAATTACTTTTTATTTTACTGCTGACATCTTTCACTTCACTTCTGTGCCTTTTGATATTCCCACATTAGCATATTTTTTAGCACTTCCTTAACTTCCTAGCACTACAAGATATGCCTGCTTGAGGTTCATCTTGTGTCTTTCTTAATACAGTCCTAGTTCTCAAATCACTGCCACTTCACCAAGGATCCTTGGTTTTTCTTAGTGGCAAGTGGTATTAGAAAGGAATATCTGATTATAAGTGTGTTCATTGACTTTGGGGTATCATTTCTTTAGGCACTTTCAACTGACAGAGTGAATAAATAAATATATGTGTGTATTTTAACCCATGTATAAACACATATCTATGATTATATGATATCTAACCATCTGTGTCTATATTAATTCTAATATAAATTCTTACTAATGACTCCAACCATAATCCATTATATCATAAATAATTCTATCCTCCCCTCTTTGCTAATTTATAAATTTTCCTTCTAACGGTGATAAATCTGGCCTCCACCATCCACCATCCATTTACTCAGTTATTGAAATCAAGTATACATATATTGAAAAATCAGATTGTTAACCCATGCCTCTGAGGGAAATTATCAGTTAGAGTATAGGGCTTTTGTGCAATTACTTTTGCCTTTCACTCACTTCCAAAATTACTTAGGTCAGTACCTTTCCTCCACGTACTTCTGAGAGGATACATTTTTAATTAGATTATTCTGTAACAGGCTTCATTTTCCCCTGAGACTTCCTGATTTCCTAAATGATTTTTTAAAAATTGTACACACTTATATTGACTCTTTGTGTTGTAAAGTTACATGAAAAATGAAAAGTATATAATTTCATACTCACTGTTATGTATTTAATTGTGTCCCCCAACAAAACATGTTTCAGCCCTAAACCTCTAGTCCCTAAAAAGGTAATCTTACTTAGAGATAAAATCTTTACACAAATATAATCAAGTTAAAATAAGGACTTCAGTCCTTTAAAATAGGGAATTTGGACATAGACACATATACAGAGAACACGTGAAGATGAAGGCAGAAATTAGGGCAATACATCTACAAACCAAAGAATGGAAAGATTTCTGGCAAACTCTCAGAAGCTAGGAGAGAGGCATGAAACAGGTTTTTTTCCGCACAACATTCACAAGGAACCAACACTGTCAATACCTTGATCTCAGACATCTGGCCTCCAGAATTTGAAAAAGTAAATTTCTGTTGTTCTAAGCTACCCTGTTTTACTTTCTTTTTCTTTTTTTTTTAAATAGCAGCCCTAGTAAATAAATACATCCACCATTACAGCATTAATCTGAATAATTTTACCATGCCCAATATACCTGTGCTTTACCTACTTATCTCTCATTCCCTCCTCTGCACCATTGGGAACCATTAATCTTCTTAATGTAGACTATGAAATGTATCTTCAAGTATCTCTTTAGACAGTCATGGGAAACCATAGAAAGATATAGATGGGGGCAGAGAGAGAGAGAAAGAGAGAGAGAGAGAGAGAGAGAGAGAGAGAGAATAAAAGCATCTATCTAGCTTTCAACTGTGACATTTAAGTATTTGTTAAATGTTTTAGGAATAATTAAATTGCAGAATTAAGTAGTATAAAAAGTTCAGAACAAATAATTCTTTTATTTGGCTGCATATGGAGTAAGGTAAAATAATGGGCATTGCTGACAAAATGGTACAAACTTCGGTACAGAATAGATACAAAATATGTCAGTTGCAAAACTTAGTAATTATTTAGGTCGAATAAAACAGAATAATTATCCTAAGTAATAATAAATTAATTGAATAATTGAATTTGTAGAAAATTAAAACATATGTTATTACCTTTTGCCTGCATCTGCAGGGAACATATAACTATATTGAAGTTGATTAACAAAGAATATAATGTGTAAAGTCTAAAAAATATAATGTTTATGTATAAATATGGATTTGGAATCAGCAAAACATGTCAAAATATATTAATAACTTCCCTTAAAGCATGCATATACATAACAGGGAATAAACGCATTCTCCTAAGGGAAAAAGATAACTTTACAATGATTATTATCTAAATGTTCACTTCTTTTCTCCTCATTTTCATGAATTATTCATTGCAACATGGAGAAACACACCTTAAAGTTTAGTTATCAACTGATTACTTTCTAGAGGTAAATATTGCTTCCAGTGAGCCATGATCCTCATTAAACTAAACCAGAAATAGAAAACAAAGAACTGAGTGTTCTCACATCTAAGTGGGAGCCAAACAATGAGAACACATGGACACAGGGAGAGGAAAAACACTCACTGGGGGCTGTTGGGGGAGGGCAGGCAGCTTGGGAGAGGATCAGACAAAAGAGCTAATGCATGCCAGGCTTCATACCTAGGTGATGGGTTGATAGATGTAGCAAACCACCCTGGTACACATTTACCTACGTAAACAAACCTGCACGTCCTGCACATGTATCCCAGAACCTAAAAAAAAAATTAACAATCATTTCCAATGAAAGCAAACTTAGAAGAAAACAGAGGGAAATATACTTTTGGTTTAACGATTCCATACAACTCATTAGGTTTTCACGCACAATTTGCTATTTTGGGCTTAGCATGGTGGCTCACACCTGTAAACCCAGTACTTCGGGAGGATCACTTGAGGCCAGGATTTGGAGACCAGCCTGTCCAATATGGTGAAACCCTATTTCTACTAAAAATATAAACATTAGCCAGATGAGGTGGTGAGCGCCTGTAATCCCAGCTACTGGGGAGGCTGAGGCAGGAGGATCCCTTGAACCTGGGAGGTGGAAGTTGCAGTGAGTCAAGATTGGCCACTGCATTTCCAGCCTGGGTGACAGAGTGAGACTATGTCTAAAAAAAGAAAAGAAAAAGAAAGAAAAGGAAAAAAAAAAAACAACGAAACAAAAAAACACAAATAATTTACTATTTTGTTATGGAATGAGCAATTTTTATTGCTATCACACAGAGATTTCTTTTGTACTATAGCATGGAACCTACTATATTTCACCATAACTAACTATGTTGGTATGGATATGTAAAGAGGGGATGGGTATAATTTTTCTTTTCTGCTAGATATTGAGATTTGAAGAAAGCAGGATGTTCGTAAACGTAGTAGATATTTGATAAACACAAGCTTATAACATTATTTTCTTTTTAATCGAGGATTACTGAAAAAAATTGAAAATACAAAAAAATACACAGAGAAATATTTAAATAATTAGTAAGATTATAAACCAAAGTTAAGTACTTATATTTTAATTTTTTTTAATGTACACATGCCTATATATCTATATGTAGCTATATATTTAAATTATTTGAATCAAATTCTTAGAGCCTTATTTTACTTAAGTTATACATGCACATTTTATAACTTTATTAAAATTACTTAAATATACTTTGAATTATTATACCTTATGTACTCTTATTTATGTAAATATTTTTACATTTTAATTTTTTTTTTCTGAGACAAATTTTGCTATGTTGTCCAGGCTCGCCTCAAACTCCTGGGCTCCAATGATCCTCCCACCTCAGCATCCTAAGTAGCTGGGACTACAGGAATACACAACCATGCCTGGTTTAATTAAAACTTGAAATTAAATGTTTAATGTGTATGATTTGATGGTAAAAAATATGGGCTTAGAGTCTATGAACATGTAACGTTATTATAGACTTAGTAGGAGTTTCCGGTTGCTATGCTTCAATACTTTTTGTAAGATAGTTAAAAGTATATAAATGCATTTTACAAATGGTAGGGCCAGAACCAGGGTGAGGTAAGCAAGGTGTCTCAGTCACAAAATTTCAGGAGGTCCCCCCTTTCCATTGTAAATGCTGACCCTACTTTTCCATAATCCTGAGAGTGAATGTTTTATGTAAATGTGCACCAAATGCCTTGTGTGCCTCACCCTAGTCCTGATGCTAACAAATGATAGTCCTAAGGTTTTGCATTATCCAAAAAGCATACTGTTGAAGATGCATTATCATAGTCAAGGTATTTTGTTCCTAAAACCTATCCATAAACCACATTTAGAAAGCATTCTTTGCAAATAATTTCTCATTTGAAAATAAATTAAGATAATTTAAAGATTTTAAGATTTTTCTGTATATCTCTTTTTAACCCGTAGACGTAGCATAGTTTCTTCAACAATTTGCCACTGATTCTACCAAGTGTGTTCTTAATTTTTTGTCTATCTGCTTGCATCCTCAAGCCTGTAACCATTAGCCAAACGTCTTAAGTAGAATGGTCAACACTCATTACCTTTACATCTTAATCTACCACTCATTTCTAAATATGAGCAAAACATAGTTCTCAAAACCAACGTAAAATGTGCTGTCTTTACCTTTCCTCTCTGTAACGCTGGACTGTTTAACAGTACCTCCTTCAATCCCATTCTTCTTGCCTGGCTTCTCTAACACCGTTCCATCAAGACTGTCTTTGTTTGGCTTGTTTCTCTGTTTTGCATTTGATTTTTTTTTTTTTTTTTTTTTTTTTTTTGGTAGCAGCAATAGACATAGAGTGGGATTTGAAATTCTGAGAGATGGTATATTTGAGTTTCAATTTCAGGGAAGGGATAGGAGCAAAAATCCAATGTAATAATTAAATGACAATGAATAATAAAAAGAAGCATTAAGTGACAATCTAAAATGTTCAAGAAATTTGGTGGTAAAGAATTTTAATTAGAGTCTGAATGGAAAGAAGGATTTCGTTCAATAATTGTTAAAATGTGATCCTGTTTATATATCTTGTTGTAGATAGACATTTGACTATGGGTACATCAAAAGTAGTGATTGGCACAGTTGAGAGTTTCTCTAATATTGTTTACCTGGCTTTTTAGGTGGTTCAGTCAGAAATTAGATAACTTTTTTGTAGTGTTTAAAATCATATGGACTTAAAATGATAAAGATATGAAATACGAAGTCTGTGGAATTAGGTGAGAGAAATTGTGGGAACATGAGAGCAGCAGGAAAATATTCTGAGTTACAGCAGGTCAAGTGATAAGCAGGTCAAGGAAGGGACAGTGCATGTGAGTTGTGAATGTCTGGTATAGAGGACTCCTAAGAACCGTAAAGTGAAGGTGCCAGAAAAGGCATTAAGGTGATGTAGTACGGTAAGTATAACTTGGTTTGGCTGTGATAAAGAAGAGTCGTAGCACATTCTTTCAGTGACAGAGCTTGACCTTTGACATTTTATGACAAATACCTAAGCCATACTCAGTAGATCTGAATCATAAAATCATAAAGCTTTAAAACTGGAACCGATATTCTAGATAGATTTGTTGAACTGACGTCATTTTACAATTGACGTGAAGAAAATGTAGATAATCAAAGTTCACATTGCAAGTGAGTAACAAAGTTAAAGCTACGTAAACATAAGTAACTAAGTACTTGGATACGTGTAATTTATTCTTAATTTCAGTGGTTTTGGGGGTACAGGTTGTTATTGGTTACATGGTTAAGTTCTTTAGCTGTGATTTCTAAGATGCTGGTGAATCTGTCACCTGAGCAGTGTACACACTACCCTATATGTAGTCTACATTTTCAACTCTCTTTGTCTGAGTTTAGCACCAGGATAAAATTACCTTTATAAAATGAATCAGTGAGTGTTCCCTCCTCTTTTTTTCTGCATGAAATTTTGTTGAATTGCTGTTAATTCTTCTTTAAACATTTCATTGAATTATCTAATAAAACCATTAGGGTCTGGATATATCTTTTATGAGATTTTGAAAATTGTAAATTCAATTTACTTAACAGTTATAGGACTATGAAAATTACCTATTTCATATTGGATAAATTGTAGTAGTTTGTGTTTATTGAGCAATTGGTGTATTTCTTCAATGTTATCTATGTGTGTAAGATATAGTGTGTGTGTGTAAAGTTGTTTATAATATTTTCTTATTCTTTTGATGTCTGTAGGGTCTAAGTTATATCCTGTTTTATCCCTGATATTGAAAATTTTTGTGTCTTTTCTAGATTTGTTTTGCTAGAGGTTGGTCAATTGTATTGATCCTTTCAAAGAACCAGCCCTGTAATTTATTGATTTTTCTGTATTGCTATTTCTGTTTTCAGTTAAATTTCAGTTTAATTCTGCTCTTATCATTACTAAGTTCTTCCTTCCTTCAGCTTTGGTTTTGCATTAATCTTCCAGGTTCTTGAGCTGAGAACTTAGATGATTAATTTCAGACTTTTCCTCTTTTCTAGTAGTGCTTGGTGCTATAGTTTTCCCTCTCAGCACTGTTTTAGCTGTGTTCCAGGAACTTGATATGCTGTACTTTTATTTTCATTCAGATCAATGTAATTTTAAATTTTCCATTGAAACTACGTCCTTGACCTGTGGAAGAGTGCCTGTGAATCTTTAGACCTTTTCTGGCACCTTTGCTTTACAGTTTTTAGGAGTCCTCTACTCCAAACATTCACAACTCACATTCACAATAACTTCTTTGAGCTAATTATCACTTGGACCTGCTTTATTCCCATTATGTACATATCAGAAGTGTAGCGGCAGGTTGATTTGTGTGGTTTTAAGTTTATGTTCTCCACTGGGACTTAACTAATGTGGAAAGGCATGAAACCACAATTTTTTTCTGTGGTATTTGACCAGAGTAGACTAGCTATTGTCTAGAATTCTTTTTGTCTTGCTAGACTGCTCCTTTCTAGAACACTTTTCTGTCAACCAGAAGTAAGTTGCTTATGGCCCTGTGATATATGAAGGGACTGAACATCAATATCTAAAATGCTAATTGGGATGTTACATGCTTATACTGAGAAAAAAAATTATGTGTACTAAAATGAATTGTAATGGATCTTGAAAATCAGAAACTCATAGTTTTTGTCATCAAGTACTCAAATTCCTGAGATACAAAGAGTGTGAAAGTACCAAAGGAATTAAGAAATCTAGGACCTAATCATATAGCAGGTATTTTACTGTGGGACAAACCATTTAAGCTTTTGTTCATTTAAAGAAAGAAGGGATGGTATTGGTTTATCTTCATGACATATCTATGTAATTCTACAATTCTGTAGTTCTGTAAAAAATTAATAATTTTCTCATTGAGCTTAATGAAATAAAAATAAACATATTCATAGTTGGGAAAAGAGCAACGTGATTTAGAAATAATTCAATATTATTCAATAAAAAATTTACAGGTGCATTTTCAATCAATGTAAGCTATAAATAAAACATTGCTAAACAGTGATAGAATCTGTTAGAACAAATGAAAACTTGCCTGTTTAAAGTAACTAGGGCTTTTACCTAATACCTTTTCAACTACCAAACAACTACAAATCCAGTGAACACTGGATGCAAAGGTCAATAAAACCAATTCCGTTGAAATAACAAATTCCAAATACTCAACACATGAGACAAAACACTCTTCAGTTTCAGTAAGATATAATCCATTTAAATGACGTCTATCCCATCAAAAACTGGGCAAAGGACATGAATTCTCAAAAGAAGATGTACAACT